GATTAATAATGCACACTCCTCTATTGCTGCCACGTTATTTGTACAAGACCAGCTTCCCCCCCAAACAGCAGCAAGTGAAGATGGTAGCCTAATATCTGCAGCTCTTTGAGAACAATAGGAAAGGTAGCACCCAGCTGAAACCACTGTACTCTTTCTATTCACATTAGGTTAAAAAAAAAGAGCAGTTATAATTTTGCTGTAGCTGACTCAGCCTGGATTTGAATCCAGGATCTAAAGGCAAATTAAATTTCACCATCCATGTTAAGAAAGCAATTCAGCTTCTGAACTGGATCAGCTTTGATGCCATGCTACAGAATTTAGTTGAAATGTGGTATGATGAAAGACTCCTGTTCAGCAGCAGATACAATTATCACACTGATCTTAATTAGATCATGAACTTGACTTTAGGATCCCCAAAGGAGTATTGAAAGCTTGGTCCAGCTACATTGAACTTGGTCCAGAACACTGAAGCTTATCCATCAAGATAAATATATTACTAGTACTTTGATATGACAGATGCTTGATGAGTGACAGAGCAAATGCCTTTTTAACTATGATTTTTAAAAAGAATTATTAAACTGTTCTAAAGTGTAAGCTGTTATCTTTGAGGGGAAAAGTATAATACATGAAAACCAATTATTACAGAGCACATAGAGCACAATTTTTCAAGCACCGGTTTCAGAATTAAAAACAATTGAACTAAGGTTCTCTCTGTGGAGAGTCACTTTGTAACCAATTCAAGACTTTAAATAGCTATTGTTTAAAAAATTTGTCAGCTACAGAAATTGTTTTTCCTTCAGATTCCAAATCCTGTCAGGCCAGGTTGATTAAAATGTTGCACTAAAAAAAAAAAAAAAAAGAGGCAAAAACCCCAGGCAATCTAATCACCCCTTATAAAAGTGAAAACAGCAACTCAATTTTTAAAGCACCATGAACAAAAGGCTATAGCCCATCTATCATTCACATATGGATTCATGTAATGATTCTTCAATTAGAATTATTATCTATACAGCAGCTGAAGACTGAGAACTGCTGATACACTGCAGATGAGAACATTTGCTAGTCTCTGGGCTCCAGCCTTTCTTAAAAAATGATGATCGCACAATATAGATTGCTCGGTTTATATGTGTATTAAGCTGCAATGCCAGCATTTACATTTGCAACATTACAATTTTGCTTTCTTAGGCTCAAGAGAATTTGCTGCATCTGGTAGATTTTATTTGCTTTGTATCTTAGGCAATCGTTATGAACAAAGTGTGAATAGGCAGTATTATTGCTCAAATAGTCTGTTTTGTTAGTTATCTCAGATACTACAAAAGAAGTAAACCAAGAGTGGGCCTTTGAGATAGGTGGGTCATTCAGTGTCAGTTTGCTTGCAATATATTATCCCAGCGCTATTTCTATAAGGCACGTCCATCTGCTCCTTCATTTCTTCCACCTATACAGATCCAGGTAGCATAAGATGCAACATCAGAGGGAAAGAAAAGCATCTCACAGAACAGTTACAGGCACCATGAGGGAGGAAAGTCACTTTGGCGATTCAGACTGCAGCAATTTGAGCGATCCCTGCCCACTCGTGCACCCTGCCCTGTTCCCAAAGGTTACTGCCTTCAGTAAGTAAGTACCCATAGAAGGTATGTTTTGCAGAAGCAGAACAGGCAACATGCTAGCTCTCCAGCCACTGCTTCTCATACTTAAAATGCTCAAACGACCCCCAGTTTCAGTATTTGTTAATACACTGTACGAATTGCGGGAACTGCCAAGCAGACAGATCACTTTGCTACCTCTGCTACAGGGCAGTGACTTTGGGCAGAGCAGCAGACTATGTAGCAAGAACAGCAACTTCTTGAGCTTCTCTTTCTGAATCCTCAGCTCTTCTGGAACGTTTCAAGAGCTTGCCCATTCCTATTTCGCGGCTGGTAACCACATATGACCTAGCAGATGACAGAGATAGGTAACTACATAATTAGTAGCTGTTAGATAGCCTTACCAAATGGGCATCTGTTCTTGGTGTTTCTACGAAGGATTCTTGCTGTATGAGCCCCAAGTACGTTCTGAGGCCCAGGTAGCCTTCCTATGTGTCTCACTAGTAATGTGGGTGCTGGAGACAGCAAGGTGGCTCTTGCAGATTTTGGAGGTATGTGGAAGCCTTTAGTGCCATGTGCCTATGTAGAGGGTAGGAAAAAGGCTGCACAGTTAATCAAGAAGCTTCTTATTGCACTGTACAATCTTAGAAACATCTTCGTAGAAGGAAAATATTGTTAATGTATTTGTTTTACTCTGCATAGTTTGACAAACCTATGCCCATGCTATTACCATCTTTCACAGTTGGTGAGACCTGCCATAGCCATGAAATACCTGTTTGTACAAAGGAAATGAAAACTCTGCTCATGGGTGTATGTTCCAGTATTGTTGCACTACTTTATTACAGATATTAGTGAAAAGAGAATAAGTGATTTATACTTTTCCTTGAAAAATACTTTTTATCTCCTGGATCTCCTAAATAACCAATTATTCTTCATTTACTTGAAAGTATATTGCTATTCGAATTACTTAAAATTTCATTATATTTATAATGACATTATATAATGTTTCCATCTCTAAAAATGTAATATTAAGTGAAGGCATTTAAGGGGACAAAGTAAGCAAACAAAACTGAAAACCAATACACCAGCTTACCAAAATAACATAACACAAATATTTAGTTCAAGAGTTTATACACATGATGGGACACATTTCTCAAAACATTTTACATTTTCTGACTTCAGGTGGCATGACTAAGATTGCGAAGAGATGTAATGACACATGAATTAAAAATCTTTTTTTTT